TATTCCTGTACAGATATACTGCTCAGAGAGGGTAGTGTTAAAATCCTTACTAAACTCGATACTTTGTGTAAATTCCCTAAATTTATAGGCAGAAAATATGGGTTCTGTGGTAACCAAAGACCACTTACGTTGAACTTATTTTCATACAAATGCTATGGGCAGAACTATGGAACAGACTGAGATATAAAAATTGTTAAGACATTCAGGAAATTAATTCAAGTTTCCGTGTTTTTTAGTGTCGATTAACAGTGGTTCCCATTATTCTCAAGTGGCAGGACTATAATCAGTACGCAGAACAGATTCCTCGAACTGAGTTCAAACCCCGACTAGGACAGTTGGTTTTCACTTCACACTATTTCCCATTTACATACAACATCTTGTTTCATTCCTATCCTACACATCATTTATCATAATCTTTATAACGCTACGTTAATCACCTCGGATTTCCAAAAAAAGGATATTCCCCTGAGGTGTTTACAGACCCCAATCCAAAAATGCTTATAGTGTGACAATTATAGCAAATGTTATTGTACTGCTGAAAAAAATAACATTACAAGAAATCTCCGTTAGAATATACATTAAATCAAGACTTGAACCGATGTAATTGATCCTGACCTGGCATCCCGACTGCAGTCACTTTCTCACCGCCGTGATGGAGCTTCCCTCTGCCTTTTCTACAAATATTTTCAAGACAACTGCTCTGACGAAATATTTTTTCCCTGGAGCCTCGACTACATGAATTTAAGCGTGCTACTAAATTGGCACCTAGGTCCCACCCTTTTACTGTTGAAATAGTTAAATTTAAGCGCCACAGTTTCTTTTCTCGTACTTCTCCCTTCCGCTTACTTGCTTCCCTGATAACTACAATCTTCAAAAGTTTAAATGCAACGTCAACCGCCATCTTCTGTTCACTTCAACACCGTTCATCTTTTATCCTTTACCCAGCCCCATCCCTATACCCAATCCTTTCTCTATCTTTCACTCTTTGTAACCCCCGGCGTACTAATGGCCCTCCCGCCTTGCTTGGGGTGAAAAGATTTAAAAAACTAAAGGGTTACAGGATTCCTCGAAGAAGACGATGCGACCTCTGCCTCCCATAACAACTGAGCTACACCCCCTCACAGAGTCAGGAGAGTAATGAGAGGGAGCAAAAGAAACAAGTTTTCAACTAGGAATTACAAGTACTTAAAAAAGTTTTCGAGTAAAAAATATCCTATGTGAGTAACGCAGGGTTAGCAATAACGCCCTTCCTTGAGTGGCTCTCTAAAAATTCACTTAACAAAAACCCGTTGTAGCGACTGCCGATTTTGAGCGTTGGTGGTTTCGCTTTTTTGAGCGAAAGAAAGAAAGAAAGAAAGAAAGCTCAATGGTAAAGAAAGAAAGAAAGAAAGAAAGAAAAGAAAGAAAGAAAGAAAGAAAGAAAAGTTCAATGGTAAAGAAGGAAAGAAAGAAAGAAAGAAAGCTCAATGGTATGGAAAGAAAGAAAGAAAGAAAGCTCAATGGTAAAGAAAGAAAGAAAGAAAGAAAGAAAGAAAGAAAGAAAGAAAGAAAAGTTCAATGGTAAAGAAGGAAAGAAAGAAAGAAAGAAAGAAAGAAAGCTCAATGGTATGGAAAGAAAGAAAGAAAGAAAGAAAGAAAGGGAACAATGAAGAAAGAAAGAAAGAAAGAAAGAAAGAAAGAAAGAAAGAAAGAAAGAAAAACCGAGGGTATGAAGAAAGAAAGAAAGAAAGAAAGAAAGAAAGTGATTTGAAGAAAGAAAAACTGAAAGAAAGGAAACAATGAAGAAAGAAAGAAAGAAAGAAAGAAAGAAAAACCGAGGGTATGAAGAAAGAAAGAAAGAAAGAAAGAAAGAAAGAAAGAAAGAAAGAAAGAAAGGAAGAAAGAAAGAAAAACCGAGGGTATGAAGAAAGAAAGAAAGAAAGAAAGAAAGAAAGAAAGAAAGAAAGAAAGAGTTCAACTAACCCGGTGTAAAAAGAAGAAAGGAAACCAGAGGCCTCGTGGTCACCCAGGGACACCAAAACTGTCTGAGACCAGGAAATTACTCCCCGTCCAGCGCTGAGAGAACGTTTGGTCTAAAAATCAGAAAAAGTAAGTTTTGCTGATATACAAATGTTTATCTGCAACTATCTGAAATCGATAAGGTTTTCCCTATACACAACCAATTATACACTCAATTATACTGAATAATCAATGGTTTATTGAACTGTGTTTTTCTCCCGCTATTATGGACGATCCATTAACGTGTCTTCAGCAGGAATTGCAAACTGCAGAATTTTACTAGTTTTATGCTCACTCTAATCTAATCGAAATAAAGGTTTTTTTCATTAAGAAGGATCAAAGTCAGCAGTAAATAAATCAGTGTTATTGGTGAAAATTTATTTATTACTCTACTACATCATGTTATTTAAGTCATGGCAATTATGTGTGAAAAATAATATCGCCCAAATGTCCGCTAATGCTTCGGCGGCACACCTCCACTCGATGGTGAAAATTTTTGATGTATCTCCATAATTGCTCATCGATCTCACCAATATGCCTTATTATCTCATCCTTCAGCTGTTGAATTGTTGTTGGCTTGTTAGCATAGACCTTACTTTTGAGATGACCCCCAAAGGAAGTATTGACTTCGCTGTATCGAGAGATATGCCACCTGGAAACTTCTCATTGCATTTCTGTTGGAACGTCCATTTTTTTTTTTTTTTTTTTGTAATAGGCTTCGATTACTTTAACACGCTGTTTGTTAATCTTCCATGGATGAAATTGCCAAAAACTTAAGAAGTTAAATTTGATAGAAAAAGAAAAAAATCATTACACGCTTAAACTTCATTCATATTTTAAATCGGTCCAAGTTATTGGAAAAACCTTTACAAATCCTTAATATCATACTAGTTTTGCTGATTTTTTCAAAAAAATACGAAAAGCTCGATTTAGAGAAGTTGCGCTATATTTCACGCCCCCGCCACCCCGGACCCTAATTCCCGTTTCATCTCTTCAATATGTTTTTATTATTTGAGATAACTTTTCTGTAGTGACATTATATCTTCGGCCGGAAACTCACACAGGATAAGATGGTGGTTTTATTTCTTCTTTTTCTTCACTTTATTCCGATTGATTGATTCGATTTATACGACTTATCAACCCTTTGCAGGTTGTTTAAAGCCCAAAATATTTTTTGATTTAAGATTTTTTTCCTTTTTTCGATAATCATGGTTTAGTGATATGTCTTACTTATTAACCCACAGCTGGGGGAAGAAGCGGTGGTTTTAGACCTAACCAGAATTTGATTAAAAAAACAATTTTAATGTGGCTATAAAGTGGGAGTAGGATTCTACATTAAATTAATATATAAACTAACCCCTCACCTTATGGCCACTGTATTTTCTATATATTTATATTCCAAACAATGTAAATAAATCTAAAAGGCATGCCTGTGTAGCTAATCAGTATTTCATTGATTCGTTTTCTACGGCTTATCAACTCTTTGAATGATATTTAATTCCAGAAAATATTTTTAGATTGCAAGAATATATATATATATATATATATATATATATATATATATATATATATATATATATATATATATATATATTTGTAACAAACAGTTATTTCTGATGAAAAATTGAGGACAATTTGAAATATCAAATATATATAAAATAAATAAATACTTTCATAAAATAAAACATTATAATTTTCAATTTGAAACTTTTTATATATATATATATATATATATATATATATATATATATATATATGTATGTATGTATGTATATATATATATATCTAAAAAAAAAATCGATTCTCCTGTCGGGTTCATATATATATATATATATATATATATATATATATATATATATATATATATATATATATAGAGAGAGAGAGAGAGAGAGAGAGAGAGAGAGATAGATAAATAAATAAATAAATAAATAATGGTTTTAATGATATGGGGGATAATTGGAGTGTTCATATCTAATCAGAGTTAGTTAAAACAAACAAGAAATTATAATGCGGATATAAAGTGGGGGATCAATTCTATATTCCAATCGATATATATATATATATATATATATATATATATATATAGAGAGAGAGAGAGAGAGAGAGATAGAGAGAGAGAGATAGATATACTGATCAGTTACTTTGTGGACATTGTATTTCCTATACATTTATATTCTAAATAAATCTAAAAGGCAATTGATTGATTCGTTTTCTACGGCTTATCAACCTTTTGACGTTTATTTAAAGCCAGAATTTTTTTTAGATTGCATGACATTTTTGGGGATAATAATTAGTTTAGTAATACAAGTCTTACTAATTAACCCATAGCTGAAGGGTAGAATATGTGGAATGATACCTTTCCTAAGAGTATTTGCGTGTAAGTGAATATAACGAACACAACGGGAGTTGAACCTCGGCTCCCCGATTTACAATTCAGTTCTATTATCCATTACACCGCCTGCACATCTAAACTTACAACACCTGGTATAATCAAACGGTCACCCATCTAGATACTGAACAGGGTCAACATTGCTGGTAATTAGTTATTTCTGTACAATTTTCGGGCGATCTTTAAAACTAAATGCTCAAAACTTGGTTAAAGCTATGAATCGAATTTTTGGTATCAGTACTTAGCACATAAAACCTCAGCTTTTAGACCGAGTGCAACGTTGATTTTTTTTTATAAAAATGAGAAATCAACCTACCCTAATTGCATAATCTTCCAGATTATGGCGAACCATGATTGCCCCCGTCCTGGAATACATAGAAGTATTTTTTTTTTTTTCATAAATGCGAAATTTATTTATTACTACGCTTTCCTTATGGGCAGAATTGAATTATGGGTAACACAGTCCATCAAAACAACATGACTAGTCTAATTCTAAATTAAAATGTTAACCTGAAGGCCGAAGAAAGAGCCTCCTACAAGTTTGGGAAAGCGGGAAAAACAACATCAACAGTGAAAGGAGAGTCTCCAAATATCATTTGCAACAAGCCATATGAGACTTCCAGACAAAACCAGTCCATGTACAAACACGCTAATTATCAACGACAAGGAACTGGAGAAGAATCGAAGGTTATACACTGAATTGCCGAAAGGGGGCGCTGTGTGTAATGGTTGGAAACCAAGCCGCATACACAGGAAGTGGTGACTTCCGGTATAGTAAGCCATATTGTCGACAGAGGGTCCTGACATTTCAACTGTTATTTCCTTTCATCTCTATCGTTCGACTGATTCAAGAAGCAACCATTCTTCGTTTCCATATCACCCTCTTGCACTTTTTGTTTTTTCTCGCTTGTTCTCTTCTTCTCCTTCTTCTTCTTCTTCTTCTTCTTCTTCTTATTATTATTATTAGTAGTAGTAGTAGTAGTAGTAGTTGTAATATTTGAAGTAGTAGCAGTAATAGTCATCGTACTAACAGTGTTGTTTAATTTTCTAATCTTTTTCTTAATTGATCTTGTTTTTATTGTCTTTCAATTACACTTTTACAATAATGTTCACCCTGCACAAGTCACAAGAGCCACTCGAGGCAGAGGGTTACCGAATAAGAGGCGACACCCCAAGCAAGGTGATAATGCCACCAAGACGCAACGGACCACAGGAAGTGAAAGAGAAGGTAAAATATTTTAAACGGAACCAGAAATCCAATCCTAAACAGGAAACAAGGGATAAACCAGTACTCCTGTTCAAAAGACCGGGGAGGAGTGTAAACCGGACGATAGGTGAACCTACTTAATCCTACCCTTCTTTTTCTTTCTTCTTCTTCATTTTCACTTTCATTTTCCTCTTCTTTCTTTTTCTATTCTACTTAAAATAGATTTCATTATTTTTCGTTAGTCTTCTTCTTTTTCTTCTTCTCATTTCCCTTACTCTTTCTTTCCTTTTTTAGATTCCTCGTTACTCTCTATCATGTTTCCATTTCACTTACTTTTCTTCGTTTTTTCATTCTTTTATTTTCAATCTTTGCGTACTACTATCTTTTTTCTTCATTCGTTTAACTTTTTTGTTGCTTCTTTTTTTCTTTCATTGTTGTCTCTCTTTCCTTAAACCTTTTCTTCTTCACTTTTCTCTTTCAGTTTATTTTCCTGCATTCTCTCTTTTAACGATATTTTTTCTTCTTTCTTTACCTTTGGTTTCTTTTCTTTTTATTCTATTTCTGCTTTTCGTGAAATTTCCTTTTCTTCTTCCATTTTCTTCTTCATTTTTTTCTTCCTTTTTCTTCTTTCTTTTTTCTTTTTCCTTTTTCTTCCTTATTTTTCTTCTTTTTTCTTCCTTTTTCTTCTTTATTTTTCTTCTCCCTTTTTCTTCTTGCTTTTTCTTCTTTCCTTTTTCTTCTTTCTTTTTTTCAGTTTTCTCTTTCATTTTTCTTCTTCTTTTTTCTTCTTTCTTTTTTCTTCTTCCTTTTTCTTCTTTATTTTTCTTCCTTTTTCTTCTTCCTTTTTCTCCTTTCTTTTTCTTCTTCCTTTTTCTTCTTTCCTTTTTCTTCTTCCTTTTTCTTCTTTCTTTTTTCTTCCTTTTTTTTCTTCCTTTTTCTTCTTTCTTTTTTCTTCTTCATTTTTCTTCTTCATTTTTCTACTTCATTTTTTTCTTTCTTTTTTCTTCTTCATTTTTAATCTTCCTTTTTCTTCTTCATTTTTCTTTTTCTGCTTTCTCTCTCTTTCACTGATTCCCCCATTTTCTACTTTCTTTTCTTCTTCCTTTTGCCTCCTCTTTTTCAGTTTTCTGTCTCTCTTTCCTTGATTTCTTTTTTTCATCTTTCTTTTTCTCTTTCTTTTTGCTCTTTTTTTTTCTTTTTCTGTTTTCAGTCTTTCTTTCTTTGATCCTTCCGTTTCATCATTCTTTTTTTTTTTTCTCCTTCATTTTGTTCTGTCTTTCGTTTTTCTTTTTCTTTTTCTTTCTTTTTTCCTGATCTTTCTTTTTCTTCTTTCTTTTTCTCCTTCCTTTTCCGACCTCTTTTATCTTTTTCGGTTTCCTCTCTTTCATTCCTTGATCCTTCCGTTTCATCTTTCTTTTTTCTCCATTTTGTTTCTTTTTTTTTCTATTTTCTTTCTATTTTCTGATTTTTCCTTTTCTTCTTTCTTTTCTTCTTCTTTTTGCGCCGTCTTTTTTCTTTTTCTGTTTTCTGTCTGTCTGTCTCACTCTCTTTCTCCTCCCCTTAATCTTTCCTCTTTCCATTTAATCTATCTTTTTTCTCCTCCCTTTTTCCTCCTCCTTTTTTCCTCCTCCCTTTCCTGTCTGTTTTCTTTTTCTTTCTCTTTTCCTGATCTTTTCACTTCTTCTTTCTTCTAACGCCCAGCATTTTCTGTATCTGTCTTTATTCTTTTTCTTTCCTTGTAAATTTTACTTTTAACAATAGCAGTATATCCCGATTCTTCTTCTTCTTCTTCTTCTTCTTCTTCTTCTTCTTCTTCTTCTTCTTCTTCTTCTTCTTCTTCTTCTTCTTCATTCCCATCCCATATTTTTTTTCCATATCTAGTTACTTATTCCCGGTTTAGGAGTGGCTCGATCCGTGGCTTATTCTCTGGGGGTGTTGCCGGTGGGGTCGGTCGGCCAGTGTGCGTATCACATCTTACAATCATTATACAACACAGTCCCATACATGGGGACGTGGTTCTCGTTACGAAGCCGGTGAATCAGCGGCAAAGTCGCTATTTAAACGGAGGGTGTGTTTCGGATGAAAATTGAAACCCAACATACATCTATACGCACACATCCGTACAAACACACGCTCTCTCTCCCTCTCTCTCTCTCTCTCTCTCTCTCTATATATATATATATATATATATATATATATATATATATATATATATATAAAAAAAAAGGCCTAAACACTAATATTCCATGGTCATAATTTATTCCATTGGAATCGTAAATACGATCCAATTCATCAGACCTCCAAATTCAAAAAAGAAAACAGAAAAACAACTCCGGAAATAAAAACAGAATTTAGAGAGAGTGTAAGTATGAGGAGGAGGGAGATTAAACCTTAACAGAGAGAATTTTAGGAGAGGTGGATGGAAGGGGTTTAAGTAAGAGAAAATGAATGTTGTCGGATGTCTAATGCATAAAATACATTTCGTGGTGACATACACACACCATAGACAATCTAATGTTAGAATAAGAGGGAGGGGAAGACGAGGTGGGGAGAGAGATGGACGAAGGAAAGGGAAATTGCGTTTACTTAAAGGGCCGCTTTGTAATTGAGAAAATTTGACAAATTTAATATCGACTACAGGTTACAAATCAAATATAAACATATAAAAAATAAATATAACGATTATCTAATCCAGCAAGGACCTATATTTCTATGTTCAAAAATACATGCGAATACACACATACACAATAACATATACACGTATATACATACACATAGGCGTGTACCCACATACACACATACATATACCCATGTACACACATATAAAAATATAAAAATATATTCACATATCCACACATACACATATTCATCTATATCCATATACACACTTTTTCCATACATATACATACATACACATGCACACATGCATATATATATATATATATATATATATATATATATATATATATATACATAAATATACATATACATATAAATATAGATAACTAGACTCGTTTCGAAAAACCCGCGAATTTTTGATTTGCTCATCAAATCAATCTCGAGGGAAAAAAAGGTTTTAAAAAAAGAAAGAGCTACAAACATGAACTTCTGCCGACAAAAAAATCGCACAAAGAAAAAAAACCGATACGAGTAACAACTAACAAAAGAGCTCAATACAACCGTAGAGCAGACCTAGATACACCTAGTGAGCCAGACAAACCTACCTAGGTTTCACCTAAACGGATCGTCAGGGAAAGTTTCCCTGACGAACCGTTTAAACTAGGTAGGTTTGTCTGGCTCACTAGGTGTATCTAAATATATATATATATATATATATATATATATATATATATATATATATATATATATATATATATGGACATTGAGTTCTACCTGGATTCTTCCTCTTGGATTTTTTTATTCAAAAAATATACATGTATTGGTAGTTATATATTTTGCATATGTATGTATATTTACCACTAATATATATATATATATATATCTTTCATTCTTCTTCTTATTATTATTATTCTACTTCTTCTGCTTCTTCTTCTTCTTCTTATTAATATCATCATAATTATTTTTAACTTTTAATTTCCTTTGATTTCTAGTGTATACACATTTTCTTTTCGGGTCCCAATCAGAGAATCCTGGGTATGACCATAAACTGTATTCACATTCTGGCTAAGATGATAAACTACGTCCAACAGCAAGGCCTCTGATCGGGTTTTGAGGAGCGTGGAACCAACTCTTAATTGCTGGCGTTCCCAGATCCAACCTAACCCGAGGTGCTAGCACCTGTTAGGGTCCCAGCTATCGGCAAATAGTTAACTCCGAAACTGAGGTAAAGATCATTATAAAATATTACCAGCAATACGTTTTTGAAGAAAAAAACTATTGCCAGCAATACGTTTTTGAAAAAATAATATTACCAGTTGTACGTTTTTGAAAAAATAATATTACCAGCTATAAGATGTTTGAGGAAAAAAATATTAACAGAAATAGATTTTTGACAAAACAAAAATATTACCAAGAAAAAAAAATGTTGTCGGCATTAAATAACCCATTAAGTTTGATATGCCGTAAAGCAAAACAACCAATCAAGGACCTAAGGGTCAGAAATGGCATCCTGACATTTTCCACTGAGCATTTCCTGAGTGAAAAAAGAAAAAAAACTAAGATCACATATATTTTACATAGATAAAGCCGTTCGAAAAGTGGGTAAGTACATTTTATTATATTTCTTTAAGGCATGGGATATCAGGAATCCCTTCAGTGAGTATATCGTAACCTTTTCCAATCAATCCGAGGGTTCCACCTATAATTGTAAGTGTTCATGTTCTTATGTGCAACATTTTTGAGATTTCGATTTCACGATCCTTTTATTTTGATAGTTTTTAAAAACCTTCAAAGATACAGTTTGCAGGGACTGCCATGTCAATAAGTGTTATGGGACCTTACCCATAATAACATAATGGACTATTCCATACGTAATAAATACTTCACCTCAAGAGGAAGCAGAGAGTTCAGTCTGAAGTCTGGAGTGAGGTCCGTCAGAAGTCTGACTGTCAGTCAGAGCGAGTCAGTCAGTCGAGTCGAGTCAGAGGTAGTCCGAAACAGAGTCGTGTTCAGACAATTACTACAAGACATTGGAATAGTGATACTGGTCGAGACTACATTGTTCTCTCTACTAAACCTGATTCTACCGCTCTGTATATATTCCTCTTTGTAATATATCTGTGTTATTCCATATCCGTATTCGAGTTCTTTATTGGTTCTTCCTTGGACTATCACCGTGGTACAAGGAACCGGACCATAACACTAAGGCACATTTTCTTTCTGCTGTCCCTAATCACGATGTCAGGGCGATTAACTTTGATTGTTCTGTCTCTGTGGATTGTAAAGTCCCATAAAATTGTTACAGGTCCTAACTCTGTAACCGGGTCTAGGTGGTATTCATACCAGTTTCTTGACATTTACTTTTTCGTAAAAGATTTTCCAATGCAGATATTGACCCACCCTGTCATACCGGGTTTTATATTCAGTGGGTACCAACCTGATACATGATGATCATTTGTTTCTGGATATTTATCAGAGGAACTGCATTTTGGGCTCACACAATTTTTCAGTATGTGTGCTTAGTAATTTCTAGTTAGCAAGCATTGGCCGTGTGCAAAAAGAATAAAACCTTCAGTTTCAGCTTTTAACCCTGCACTACACTATCATATTTTGTACGGGCCGAATATTGTCTTGTATCTGGTCCATTGCACTTGTCTTTTTTTAGGTGTTTTTGGCGCTGCAGTATGGGTATTACGTTTTAATTGCATTTCTTCGCCGACTTGAACTTCCATTTTCAACTTGTTGACTTCCTTTGTTAGTGAATACAGTTTCTAACTTCTTTCATATTTTTTGACACAGATCCTCATCTAGTCTTCTGTAATTACCAAGTGTTTTTGGAAGCCGATTTTTGTAGTTTTGTAAGACAGTTCTAGTTGAACTAATCCTCTGCCTCCTTCGGATCTGGACACATGTAAATGATCAACATCAGCCTTGCGATGTTGCATGCGATGGCAAATGAGAAGTTTCCTGTTTTGGCGTCCATTCGCTTAATGTCAGCTATGGTCTAGTTAAGGGTGTTGAATCTGTATTGCCAAACTACAAAAACCTGAAGGATTTAAAATTATTTGGAAGAGAAAACCAAATAACTGATCTCTTCTTGGCAACTGCTTGTTTTGAGGCCATTATAAAATTATCAGCAATGCCACATCTAAGACAGTTGGAGGAAATGACGTTTGATGATATAAGTTAACTACAAGTGAGAAAACTAGTGAACTCAGAGAGAGCTAAGCTCATGAATATTTCTCAAAAAGGGAATGAACAAGTTATTGAATTTTCGTTTAAAACAGGCTTCTAAATATTGTGAATTTGAGAAAGTGGGATCGGAAAACCAGTCAAAGGAAGAGGATTTGATCCAAATGAAATTGGTAAACAGCCTTCAAAATGTATGAGGATTATGATTCTAATGCATTTACAATATTGGGAAAGCTGCCACAAGAACAGTATGTCGAATTTGCTCAAAAACAAGAATTAATTTGCAAATTTAATAGAACAAAAGTTAGAGGAAACGGATACATATCCGATAAACAAAAAAAAGACAGAATGTATACTTTTTGTGGCTATTGACACAAAAGAGAAAAAACAAAATGGGAAAAATGTTTCAGAATGAATCATTTTAAACGTATGTGTAAATCCAAAAAAAAAACGTAGAGACGGTCCAATAAAATAAAGAGGAAATAAGTATAGACGTTTTTTCATTGAAAAATGTCATGAAAAAGGGTCATCAAAAATTCGAATCAATAATGTTTTATTGGACACGGAACTATATACGGAAATTAGCGTGACGTTGAAACTCAGAAATTTCTGGAAGAAATTAGGAAAACCAAAGATTAAAGAAAAGTCTTATCCAATTGAATCAGTTCGACGAATTCGTGATAAAAACGTCAGGCTATTTTGAAGCCTACGTGGATCTAAAAAAGTAAGTTTGACGTATTACCAGTTATTGTTGCAAAGTATGAAAAGAACCATTGTCTAATATGAAATGATGTGCCAGGCCATCTATTACCAAATAATTGTGAGAAAACTAAAAAAATACTAGAACAAGATCTACTTGAACAAGTTCCACCAGGAAGGAGCAAATGAACCTTCCCGAAAGTAATTTTAAGAAAGAAGGATGGGGATCCGCGCATTTGCGGTGACTACAAAGTAGGTGTAAACCATAAAATATATGCAGACTAATATCCTATTCTCAATGTAGAATAGGCTTTGAACATTTTCTAAAATTGATTTAAAGTTGGTAGAGCATCAAATACCCATTGACGAAGACTTTAATGAAGTCACAAC